GTGGGGGGGGGAGTGTCCACCATCATGTGTTTGCAAACTCAGAGAGAGCACATTTGAAATGAGAAGGGATTCTGCAGAGCAGGTGGAGATCCAGCTAAAGAAACGGCGACAAGGTCAAATGGTCGCAATTACGCACTGCGCTGCGCCGCGGGGACGTGACCGGCGCGCGCGTCCTCCCCGCGCCGCGAGGGACGCGTGACCGGGGGCATCTGCCCACAGCTATTCTGGACCTGCGATATGAGACGGTCTGAACGTGTGCAGCTGCTTTTAGGAATATCGCCTGCATCCATGTTGTGATAGCTGCAGATGGAGTTGAAAAGAACACTTGGTTTGGGACTCAGCGGCTGGCCAGAGGTTAAGACTTGAGCACAGCTGGAGTTGGGGCATCCCAGTGGGTGACAGTGTGAGAATACAGAGCCGCCACGCACACACTTCCCAGCAGCAGATAACATGAAAGCACTCCGAGAATAGACGAGCAGAGCAAAAACTACTACTGTAGGCTATCACATAAACACTGGACAGCATGTTGTCCGACCACTACTCCGCTCAGAGCTCTTTATGTAATGCTGGTGGAATGAAATAACTTTTGAAGTCGGGCCTGTGGCTCTGGGAAAGCTTTCCTTCTTGGTGCTTAGATGTTCTGTTAATGTCAGTTTTCACCAACTGTGAACTCTGGGGGTACACCACAGGGGGGGAAAAGCCAAGTTTAAGATGTTCAGGATCTTCAATCTGATGTGACCTGATGGAATCTGAATCAGTTCATCAATAAAACTTAGAATTGAGAGTTTTCCGAGTCTTTTATCGGCAAAAAGTAGTAACAGGAAAGAAATCTATTTCCTTATTGCTGTGGAATATGAAAATAGTCTATGAAAACAATTTAGATGAGTGAGATTCTGCCAAAAGCCCACAAAATACCCAGCAACCAAAGATCTCTGTACTTTATGTATGTATGAAGGTGGCCTTTTTTCAGAAATAAGAACATAATTATGTTGTTGGGTAAAAATCTATTGTGAGAAAAGTGGATTGAAAAACGGTAAAATCTTCAGAGGTTCCAACCTTAAAGCATATGATGGTATATGTAAATTCAGAAGGCCCACTGGCCCCCCCCCCCCCCCCCCCCCCCCCCCCCGCTAGCTCCATAATCAGAGCCCGGGATTATTTTAACCTCCACCGAGTTGCAGCTTCCCCTTTTGCAGCTCTGTCAAACACCTGATCGTAGCACCTTGTGTCCTGAGACAATTAGCCCCCTCCCTTTAGAACGTCCCCTCTGATGAGCAGGCAACGGTAGCAACACATGGGGCAAATCGCACATGCAGTGATGTAATGCGATGCAGTGAGGGCGAAAACCGGTTGATCAAAACAGGGTCATTAACTGTATCCTTGTCTTTACAGCCAAATACCTTTTGGGCCTAGAACATCTTTGACACCAGGTAATTACAGGAGGCCTGTCCATGCATGTCCACAATCTCAGGCTTAATTTCATAAGGTCACGACAGAGGTATAAAAAACGCTTCCACACCCACAGGTTTGACTTCCTTTCTGGTTGAAACTGAAATCTACCATTGAATGAACTGAAGTGAACTTGGATGTGTTTTAGTAAGTTTTAGTTTTTCATATTTAGTTAATTTTTCACTGTGTGAATGATGCGTTCACTGTGACAGTTCACTGGTTTTACTACAGATAGCTCCCACATTATTCAGCTCACTGATGAGACATTTTTAATTAATGATATCTACAAGTTGATCCGTGGTAAATTGTGTTGGTATCAAAGTGTTCAGAGCTTGAATTTAGAGCATTAATCTGAGCTGCATGTCGTTTAACCCAGTAATTCATCTAAAAGGGTCCGTTCAGATGTATGCTGTCGTCCTCTAAACTATAACCGACCGCAGGTGTTAGATGATGGTCGATATAAAGGACAAAAAAGGGGTTAAGTCTTCAGAGCTCCCATGCGTCTGGAAGAAAAGACACAAAGCGTGTTTAAGTATATTTCCTCTGAAAATAAGTTGTGCTCGGGTCAGTTTTGTTTAAACATGTTGGAATGTGATCTTGTTAAGTTTCAGAAGTAAATAATCTCTGGTTTGCTTTTACATCTTGATTAAAGCATCTAGCACACATTCACCTGTCAGCTTGCTAGGTGTGGCTCGGGCAAATTGAGGTCAGGTTGGCTTTCATCCACAAATATTCTCACAGATTTGTAATAATCACACTGCCGACTGAACAACTGTATATCTCACTGGCCTTCTCATGTTTTTGTTACAAAGCCAAAAGGGTCAAAAAGATGTATTTCATCAGGGAATGATTATGGTTATATAACTCCCCTTGTTGTTGCAGGGAAACTCCTAGAAATAATCAGAAACATATGTTTGCCATTTTAAACAGCAAAAATAATGTCAGAACACTGTAAGACTGCCAGAGAGTTTGCATGCTTGGTACAAAATCATCTCCACTTTCAGGGTACCTTTTAACTTTATTCCACAGTGCTTAATAGAGTTTCTTATTCATAAGACCAAATATGTAATCTTAATAAACCTTTCTATCCCGAGCATACAGAAGTTTTTGGGTCATTTGATGTTTTGCTCAAAGACACTTTCACATACACAGAGGCTGTGGATCAAACCTCCACTCTCTCAAATGGAGGACGCTTTATAGCATTCATAGCAAAGCAAGTGAGTTATTTAAAGCTTACATTTCCAGATAAGACATGGATACATTCAGAATGAATATTACTTGGGATATTTTATTAGAACTGCCACTGAAGCATTTACTCATAACCTGTAAAACTAGTTTTGGATCTTTTTTTTTCTCGACATGGTTCTTAAGATCCAAAAGACTTTTAGGATCTATGAGATTCCTTCATACTTTTGGTTCCTATTGAATCAGCTGAGGTGTGTTGTGTTGTTTCTGTGCTTTTAAAGTATGGCTAAACTTGTGGATGGTGTGATTTTTTGTTCATCGCTGAGGGGGGGTAATGCTTAGGATTGTAGCAGCAATGGGCTGTGATTAGTCAGGTGGTTTCATTGATCGGTGCCGCTTTCCGTTTGATGACTGAGGACGTCACCAGGAATGAAAAGTGTGGCAGCTGACGCGAAACGCACATTAAGCCTTCCAGTGAAGCTAGCCGAACTGCTTTGAAACGATCACAAATCGATCACTTCTGGGGGCCACAGCTTTGTTCTCACGGTCACCGCTCTGCCCTCATTCATCCTCAAGCTCACTCCACCACCGCGGGTTCACAGAAAGGAGCAGTTACACCTGCAGAGATGAATTAGGAAGAAAATAACAGCGAGGGAAGCAAACGGGAATATGCAACCTGTCAGAAGTTTTCAGTGACGTCGGGGCAAGGACCCTCAAAATAGCAACAGTTTTAGGGTAGATTTTATTCCTGGCTGTAGTTTAACCCTTGAAGGTCTCTAGAAGGGCCATTAGAGGCTTCCCAATTCTTGGGTTAGGTTTTTGGCAAGTCCAAAGGGGCATTTCATGTGAAAGTAGATTCAAACTTCGGTGGAATTTCTTCTTAGGGGTAATACCAAGTTAGGTAAACACCCCCCTCAGCCTGTTTACATGCACAGCTGATCTGAGCTATGGTTCCAGCTCGACCTGGCCAATTAATGGACTGCTGTCCTCCTTTTTGTAAACATGCACAGGAGTGGAATTGAGTTTTCCATTTGCCTCTAGTGTGCACATCTGCATTTGGGTTCTGCTTTCTCCATTACCACTAACAGTAACACTTTAAGCTTGTTTATTTTTATGGCAGTTAGGTGCTGAGAACTATGAATCTGCTCATCTAAAGTGTATTGTGTCAAAGTGTCAAACTATGTACTTTTCCTTAGATTAACTCATTACAATTGTAACCACAGATTTCCACTCAGTCTGATGAACCAAAAATCATTCAAAAGTATACGATGACTCAGTTCTCTGACAGTAAATTTAGTGATCACTTATGCTTTTCTTTTCCATGTTTTAATGTGAATGGTACGCCAAGATGGCTTTTAAGTTCAGATGGAGATAGTTCGATTTGATCCAGCTGTAGTCCCTTGTTACCATAGAAACAGCAGAGCTCGGACAGCAGTTACGCCGCGATTTTAACTCTGACTTCAACCATGAGAAGAAGCACAGATAGCGACTTATAATTGTTCCATGTCTGGAACAATTTATAAATCAACCAAGAGCTTCAGGAAAGAGTTTAAAAGAGAAAAAAGTAGAAGTGGCATGATGTTTGTTCTCACACAGTCCGCAGCATTGGATGCAGTTAGGTCAATTAATGGCAACCAAAATAAAGTGTTTTCAGGGCTAAAAATATTAGAATTTTACAATGAATATTAAAATATTGCTCCGCTTTTCCTACTTTTGTTTATTTTTACCTGTAGAGAGACGCAGCTGACATGGCGTCCCGCGGGTTTCACGGCATGTTGACACTCTTCACATGCAGCGTACTCTTCTAGGGAAGCATGTTGCTCAGCTATGTTTTAAAGAGGAGTCAAGTCACTCAGTGAAACAATCAAGTTTGGACAGTTCTCACTTTAAACGACCCATGTCTTATGTGTTTAGTCATTCATGTGTTTAGTCATTCATACCTTTGGCTCGTATCCGGATGCGACCAGGATGCTGTGGTTGTTCAGGTGTACTTAATGTTGCACTCCACAAACACTAGAGGTGTTTGAACCTCCTGCAAAAAACAAATCAATGGGTTGTACGATCATTCAGCCAGATAGGATATCTGAGGTGTTAGATCATTCTGATTATTCTCAGAATGGTTTGCACTGGTCTCACAACAATTATTATCCTGGTTCAAAAAT